GGCCCGGTGGCGGGGCCGCCGCCCCTGGTTGGCGGCCGGGTGTGTCTGTCCGGCGCGGCTCGTGGAACGCCGAGCGGTGGGTGCGGGCGAGCTGCGGGCTTCAGGCAGCGGTGGGGTTCTGTCCTGCTGCGCTCCTGGGGGCGGGACCCGGGCGCCGCTGCCCCACCCCCGTGCAAAATGTAGGCACGTTGTCGGGCTAGCTGTGCTGTGGGGCCAGCCCCCCTTTGCCTCTGCCCCCGCTGCAACCCTTCCTCGCAGCCCCTATCCCGACCGTACAGCGCCTCTGTCCTGCCAGATCCTTAGCAGAATAATCCCTCTCCTGCCCCAGGTTAAACCACTCGCGGGACCCGGGCGCCGCTGCCCCACCCCCGTGCAAAATGTAGGCACGTTGTCGGGCTAGCTGTGCTGTGGGGCCAGCCCCCCTTTGCCTCTGCCCCCGCTGCAACCCTTCCTCGCAGCCCCTATCCCGACCGTACAGCGCCTCTGTCCTGCCAGATCCTTAGCAGAATAATCCCTCTCCTGCCCCAGGTTAAACCACTCTTCCCCCCCACGTACAAGAGGCTTGCATGAGCATCTCATGGGAGCCCACTGGACCTGGCTCTTCTTTCCGGTCTCAGCTGCTCCCTCTTGCTCCATCAGGGTTGGCCCTAGAGTGACCAGAAACCCTAATGTTGCTGGGACCCTCTGCTATTAGGTGCTTTTGTCTTATATGTGCAACTATATCCCTCTTGGGGAAAAGTGTCCTGATTTTTCACACTTGCTATCTTTCCACCTATGTGGACTGTTTATGGCAGGAGTGGGGAACCTTTTTTGGGGTCAGGGGCTGCTGCCCCCCCGCAGAAAAATCAGTTGGGGGCCACAAACCAAGTGAGCAGCAAAATGTTAAAAAAACCCTCATTGACATGGCCCCTGACGGAGAAGGAGAAAGACATTCCCCACATTACCCTTGCACACCAGAGCATGGGGGGCCCAGGCTAGTAGACTGTGTTTCAGCCCTGCAGTGGGGCTACGGGACAGGGCTGGTGCATCAGTGTAGGCTCCCCAATGCTAGGGGGCCCTGAGCTTTGGGGGAGGGCAGATCCAGGCAAGCCAGGGACTGCATACAGCTCCTAGCCCTGGGGGTCCCCACCCCTGCTTTATGGGATCTGGGTAGACTTTCAGCACTGAGCACAAACTGGAATGGTTGGACTGATGGGAGTGGCAAGGAGGAGGAGGAGTGGGTTTCCTGGAGGGGGTGGGGGCCAGAGTGAAAACATGGTTGTGGGAGTATATGTATAGGGCATATTTACTATCTAGCTTTTGGAGAATTTCTCTGGTAAGTCTCAAAAATCTCCAACATTTTAGCAGTCCTTTGCAAAGCTAGAAATATAGGGTGGATTCAGTCCTGAGAGATCCTTTTTAGATCAGATCTTTACAGTAAGGACCCTCATAATGTATAGAATGGTAAGCTCCTCTCATCATCAAGTACCCTGATTTCCAAAAAGAATTTGACAGCCTGCACAGACATCCTAGTGGAATAGTCTTCAATCCTACAGAATCTCAGCTAAAGTTATTAACATTAAGGCCATGAACAGTGACGTAAATGAAACACTTTGTAAGGGAACCAGAGTAGTTTAGTGTGAACAACATCATGAAACAAGGCTGCGTTTTATCTCCAATGTTGCGTAGCATTGCCATAGACTGGATAGTAAAAAAAAAGTGTATTAACGATACAAAAACTGGCATGTGCCCTCGTTAGGGATGTTAGAAAGCAGTTATTTTCATAATCGTGTAACCGCTAAATTTCTTAGCGGTTACACAGTCCCTCAATACCCCCCGGGAGCAGGGCTGGCAGCCAGTGCGCTCCTGGGGAGCCTCTTGCTTCCCCAGGCTGCAGCCTCTGTATCAGAGACAGCAGTACAGGGTAACAGGTGGAAACCAGTCCATGAGGGGAGGCTGTTTAAAAACCACAGACTGGCTCTCTCTTGCTGCCCTGCGTTGCTGCCTCTGACACACAGGCAGCAGCCCCTGTCCGCAGCAAGCTGTCTGTGGAATGCCAGAGCAGCCTCTGTCTGCTGGGAGCTTGGGCCCCTTGCAGACAGAGGCTATTGACACCCCACACTGTTGCCTCTCATACAGAGGCAGCAGTGCAGAGTGGCAGACAGGCTCTCTGTATGGACCAGCTCCTGCTTGCTGCCCCACACTGCTGCCTCTGTATCAGAGGAGCTGCTGTATTGGAGGCAGCAGTGCAGGGTGGCAGGCAGCTCCTCTGCATGCTCTTCATTGAAAACTTAAACAGGCAGGCTGGGACTGAGCCAGCTTGCTGGTCTGAGTTTTAAATGCAGAGCACATGATGGCAGGGGTGGGGGTTGTTATAGTTAACCAGGACTGTTAACTGATGAACAATTGCTTATCGGTTAAATGGTTAGCTGGCTAGCCATTAACATCCCTATTCCCACCCCAGTGTTGCTTCTGCCTCTGCTCAAAAAAGACATCTTATGACATTCATGAAACAAAAAACAGGACTATGTAGCACTTTAAAGACTAACATTAGTCTTTAAAGTTAGTCTTTAAAGTGCTATATAGTCCTGTTTTTTGTTTCAGGTACACCAGACTAATATGGCTACATTTCTATCACTATTCACCCATGAAATGTTTGTATGATTTTTGGATCCTGACTGCACTCTTAAATTGCTGTCATTTGATTAATATTTAAATTTGCTTGACTCTAGCTAATCTTGTTTCATGCCCAGACATGATCTGAAAACTTCACTGCTTACATTAACTGACAATCTGCTCCTGGAGGTGGATGGAAGTTAGATGCTCATGCTGATTCTTTTAGGTTTGTCATTTTTCATTGATCGTTTAATTATATGACTTTGATAACATGTTTGCAGTCCCTAGAAGAGATTTACTGAGCTGCCTTGATATGCTGGTTCAGACCTTTTTGTCTAAAATATATGAAAAGAGGTGTGATGGACAGCGGGTCAGGTGTCCTGAGAGCTTTCTCAAGCTAGATAGATTGGATAGGTGCTCATGTAGCTGCAGTTGCTAAAGCCCTTTTTCATTATCTGTACTTGGTAAGTGTAAACCGAGGTCCAGTGTGCTTCATCAGCAGCTATGCGAACTACAAGCTGCGGACTACAAACTGTGGCATGTTGGGAGAACTTCCTGGTTCCTTTCAGGATGTACCCTCTGCCTTCCCAGAAGGTCTAGCACTGACTTAGGCTGTCTTTTTCTGATTTTCTTCTGAAAGAGGCTATTTCAACATTTAGCCTATCTATACGGGGCCAAATGATGAAAAAAAAACCTCTTTGGGAACATCTCTTCTTCCTTGTAAAATGAACTTTATAGGGATATTGAAAAAACGCGTCTGCTTTTCCCAAAAAAATGTCAGAAAAGCAGATGTGTTCCTTGGATGTGGCAGAGCTTTTCCGGGATATTGGAGGTATCCCAGAAAAGCTCTGTAGTCTAGACGTACCCTCAGATGGGAGCACATAAGCTGCAAGCAGAGAGATGGCTGCTGGACTGTAATCCTATTCTATGTTCGTCACAGAATAAAACATGTTCCTGGTGGTTTGAGTAGGTCTGGTCTGATGTGAATACTCACTGACACACAATGCAGAGCACACAAAGGAGCCTCAGGCCCAGTTTCTCAAAGTTGTGTAAAAAGTCACAAGGGAGGCTTCCCCTCTCTGGAACAACCTTACATTGGGCCAGGGAACAGGAGAGGCTACACAATAAAGGTGCTGTGCAATCATTTCTTCTGAATGTGGATTGATGAGAATTTTCTGTGTGTTTACCACCTCGAATATTTGCATATTTACTGAACCTTACATGACTATAACCAAGCCATTTTGCACATTTTTGTCTGGAGAAAAATTCAGCAGTCTATTTTTTTTCCAATATTTTAATTGATGATTATTCATTTTGAAGTAAAATTTAAGGGTTATTTTTTATTTATAATGTCATAAATGGGTTGAGTTCAGGCTACCTGAGAGATCATCTTGTTTCTTACATAGTACTACAACTGGAGACTCCTTGGTATAAAAGAGAGGGGACAGCTGGTGGCATGTTCTCAAGTGCAGAGTTACTTTATAATTAATAATAATGATTATTAAAACAACACGAAAGAACCCAACTGAGTTTGAGGCTCCCATTGTGCTTTGCATTATTTATTATATATTCAAGAGAATTTGTGCGTGTGCGTGTGCATGTCCATTCATGAGTCCATTTGTTCAAGAACTCCTCCCTAAATGGTAAGAGTTAGGACCATCAAATTTGTCATGCAACTTCCTCTTATCATACTTAAAGCAAGATCAGGGTTCATTGTACCAGGACAATGGGACACGTGTGGCATGTGATTGTTTTCCATCAAACAGAAAGAGGTGATATAGCAGGGACAGTTATACTCGTGAATGACCACAGGGGTACAGCAAGCATCCCAGCCACAGCAGCCTCTGGGCAGGTCATGTGGTTTCCCCCCCCTTCCCTAGCCCCAGGGGGCAGCCAGCAGGTAACCCCCCCTCCTGCCCTGAGGCCTCCCCCCACCTAAACTCCTGCTTTGACTCCTGCAACCCCAGTAGGATTCCCTCCTCACCCCCCAACCCTGACTCATGCACCCCCACATACCCAGTCCCCTGCCCTGAGCCTCCCCACATACCCAACATCCTGCCCCCACTCTTGTGCCTCCCATGCCCCC